GGAGGGTGAACCAATGGCAAAAGGAAGACCTTTCTCTCTGTCTCTCTCTCTCACTGTCCACTCTGCCTGTCAAAAAAAAAAATATTGTTGGTCACTGTAGAAAAATGTCTTCACCATGACATTATTGGCAATTGAACTAGGTGATTCTTTACTATAAAGGTCTGTCTTATGCCTGGCAGGATGTTTAGCATTATTCCTGCCCTCAGCTGCACCCTCCTCAACCTCTCAACTAAAGTTTTACAATGAGGCATATCCACAGATGTTGTCAAATAAACAAAAGTAGAAAATATATTAGTGAGCCACCCAGATTCAACAATGTTTAATGTTTAGTCTTTATGTGAACCATTCTTTAGACTATATAATTTTTAGGCTTTCCTATTGCATAGAATTTATTAAAAATTCAGATTCTCCAAAAAAAAATCAGATTCCCTTAGGGGTACGCATTTAGCCTAGAAGTTAGGACACCCATGTTCTACACAGTATCCATGTTCAATTCCTGACTTCAGTCCCTGATTTCAGCTTCTTGCTAATGCAGACCCTGGAAGGTATCAGTGATGGTTTAAGTAGCATGTCTCTTCCACCCATGTGCGAGAGCAGCTGAAGTCTCTTGTGAGCTTTGCCAGAGAAAACAGCAGATGGGAACTCTATTTCTGTCTCTTTTTGTCTTTACCTGTTTGTCCTTCTGTCTGTCTCTCTTTAGCTCTCTGCCTCTCAAATAAAAAGAAAGTCATTTTTTCCTTAAAATAAAAGTTTCTCTGGGATTTGATTTCAGATCGTATACTCTTGAGAAGGGCCCAGGAATTTGCATTTCATGTGGACCCCTGATGGCTCTGATAAGAGTATTCTAACTAACTTTGCACTTGGAAAAAGACTGATGTATAGATGAATCAATGCAAATAGAGTTCCATCATTACATGAGAAGAGCTTAATGATTGTTGGGTGCTATTGTCATATTTACTTAGGACAACACATACATATGGCCTCTAGATTAATGCTCAAGTCTCCAATTCAATTTGTTTTTGTAGACACAGACACAATCTGCTTTGCAATTAGTTAAGCACCCATCTGGCAGATTGAAAATTTGGAAGCTGTAAAATAAAACAGGTAAAGATTTTTCTTTGTCAGCAAGACTGCCTGAAATAATGATCAACTAATGAAAGTACTATAGGACTGAACATTTGTGATTCTTTCAGGGTGAATTGGAATTGATAGCACCATTGAAACAATACCTGATGTCAAATTATTAATGGGGCCCCCTTTCCTTCTGACTAACCTTGATTAATTAAATATTTTCTTGTGCACAAACAAGGTCAAATATCTGAAGGCAAGTTCAATAAATTCATTCAATTACTGAGTACAGCACTAAGATTTTAGAAATTAAGTTAATTCCCATGTAATTGACACACTTTTCTAATTTGCTTCCAGATGTTTTGGATTTCATCCTCTGGTACATAGAAAAGCCTAATAGACAAAAAAAGCAACAGGGAACTTCTTTGTTTCTAGATATTCTCCATTTCTTTTTCGGTGAATCTATAAATCTTTCTTAGTATTTTTCTGCTTCAAGGACTCCTTCCCTAAGTTCTGCCTTCTAATCCAACTTGAACATCTTCATTCAGATAGACAGAGATAGAGTCTGATTAATCTCTATTAGTGAATAAGTCAAATCTTAAAAAAATAGTCTTAATTTTAACTTTTCCCCCCATTCTTCATAGCCACTGACCAGACAGTTACATTTAGCTGCAAATTCAAAGACCTGAATCCAAACATAGTCTCTGATAGACTCTCACTCTCATCTCATACTCACCTAGGAGGAAAAGAAATTTAATCAATAGGTTTTCTCAAAACAATGATCTCTGAAGAGCAGGTGAAAAGATTAAGTAAACACCAGGGATATAAAATATTATCATTCTCATATCTTAAAAGTACAGGCTTACAGCATCTTTAGAAAGTGTTTCTTTTGGAAAAAAAATCCATTTTGTTCTCACAATTAGCAATGCATCACACACATCTATCAATGTCAAATGACCTTCAGTATTTTCCTTGGCTTCATTTGAAGAATCTATATGTTCATCAAGACTCATTTTCATGGAAGCTGTCAATGCTTCCCACTGAATAAAGTTCTTCCAGAGAAAAAGGATATGTAACTATAAAATTTACAGAGCATAGGTGATAAAATTGTGGGAATAATGAGGTTTAATTTTAGTCCAAATTAATTATTGTTCTTTCTTGTGTTTTACTAATATATGGAAGAGCCTTAATGATGAGCTGAATTCATTTTAAAACTATGATTCAGAATCCTAATCAGAATATCATTGAAAAGATTCTATTTTATAATTTGAAATATACATACCATCCAGAAATGGCAAGATGGTGAAGACAAATCTTTTAATGTATATGTGCATAAATACAGATTTCATGAACATACATTTCAGCTTTCTACACACCTTTAGAACAGCAAAGAATTGCAAGTCATCAGGACTGACATTGTGGTGCAGCGTATTGGGCTGCTGGCACCTGCGTCACTGACATCCCATATAGGTGCTGATTCAAGTCCCGGCTGCTCCACTTTGGATACAGCTCCCCGTTAATGCATCTGGGAAGGCATTGGAAGATGGTCCACATATTTGGGCCCCTGCACAAAGTTGGGAGACCCAAATCCCAAATGAAGTGCTTGGTTTCTGTCTTTGGCCTAGCTCAGACCATTCCATTGCCATGATTTGGGGAATGAATCATTGAATGCAAGATTCTCTCTCTCTCTTTCTGTGTGTGTGTGTATGTGTCCTTTTCTCTATGGCTTTGTCTTTCCAATAAATAGATAATTATTTTAAAAGAAATTGAAATATATTCCCAAAGAGGGGAGCAGGGGTGAAATGTAGACTTAAGGTATTGCAAAACTGTCTCAGAATAGGCACATCTTTGAAAATACTTTTCGTATTGTAACAGGTGAAACATGAGAGTCATATTTGAAACTCTTCTGGGCCACAGGGAGAGAGCTATCAGCTGGAGAAAGAATTTTTGGTGGACCTCAATTATAGATGTCTTGCCATAGAAAATGTAATACTAAAGCAATTTGGATTGGAGGAAACTCCTTTATATGAATTGCCACCCTACCTACTCTTACAGACTGAATGAATCATTCCCATAGATTCTCAATGCTCTGGATTTGTGACCTCAATTCTCCTACTTTCTAATTCTGAACATCGAATGAAAACTTTCCCTTGGAGTTCCAGATTCTTATCTATTAAATAATGGTTGCCAGAATTGCCCAATGCATAATTTTTCTTGGGCTGGATGCATATTTCCGACATTTCAAGATTTAAAATTAAAACTTCCAATTTCCTCATATTGCACTGTATTCTCACAAGGTTTTAGTAGATGAACCCCTAATTTATGTGTCTAATATTTTAAGGTTCTGTTTTCCTATAGTTTTGTACTAAAAAATTCACTTTCATAATGTTTATATTATTTTTCCCTCATAATAGCCTGATAAGGTAGAAAGCTCTTACTTTCATGGATGCTGAAATTTTGTCTGGAGGCACGGTTGTCACTCCTGAGAAACGCACATGTACACACAGTAAAGATTAGAGAATGAGATCAGCCCAATCCGGATTCATGCTCCTCCTGTAACTCTAAGCTGCTTCTTGTACGAGGCGTGGCTCAGTGGCACAGGAACAGGGATCATCCCTGAGAGATAGCCTGTGTGATTAATAAGGAACATTACAATCACTCAAAAGAGTTAGAAAAGATAGGAAGGTCGCACTCTGAAACAAGTCAATTAAGTGTTTAATTTTGGAACTAAGGGAAATATGAAAATGCAGATGGAGACTGAAGTGATGCAACAGAAAACCAAGGAAGTAGCTTCCGGCAGGCACCTGAGGCTGCAATAGGAAAGATCCAAATCCCCTTCCTAGAAGTTCCAAGGCATACATATTTATCAATCATTTGGTATTCTTCTACATGGAATATTCCTTAAAACTTTTGGATTTTCATTTTTGTTTATTCCAGTATGAGCTTATGGATATTTCACTCATAATTTAGGCTATAGCCTATTATTTTTTATTGACCAAATTTGGCCTTTTATAAGCCAAATAATCTAAGAATCAGCTGAACCATCAGACGTTGCTGTTTCAGGTGGCTTCTGTATCCATTTGACAGCACCATCACTGTGATATTTTTAATACTTTATGACTTTCAGGCACCACACAATGTTTCAGAGCCTTCTTTTATACTTCCTGTGGTAGTTCTAGAATAAGCTATTTCTCTGAGAAGCTATCATTCATTTTACTGCAAAATGACCTGAGTGCTAGGTGTTCTTGGTTCTATGCAGTGTCTTTGCTTCTCCGTCCTCTCAGCTGTTTGATGAACAAATATTTGCATTTATTTATTTATTAACCAATACATATAGATGGAATAATTAACTGGGGCTACTGATAATAGCTGGCTTAAGTAACAAAAAATGTATTTTCTCACAGTTCTTGAGACAAGGCTCCGAAGGTCAAGGTGCCATCTACTTTGTGAAACCTGTTTTCCTGGGTTGCAGCCATCTGTCTTCTTGCCGTGTCTTCCGCTGACCTTTCTTGTGTGTGTGCAGTGAGAGGGAAGGGGTTGAGATCTCTGTCATCTCTGTCTTTTCTAATAAGAACATCATTTCTATTGGATTAAGGTCAATCTTATGGCATTTTAACCTGTATTACTTTCTTCTTGGCTCTATCTCTGAATGAAGTCACATTTGGAGATTAGAACTTCAGAATAATTCAGCCCAAAACAGGCCATGACTCCCTGTCTTAGAGATGCAAGTGAGACTCTTATTCACTAGAACTAGAATTCTCAAATGTATAAAGACAAAGAAAGACTTTGGTAGATTATCTATTTCTTCTCTTAGAACTCTATACCAGTTAGGCAATTCCATATATCTATGGGGTCAGACTATTCTAATTATTGTTGGGGTTCCGGTCACCATGGCAAAGACAATCACCTGTGTTCATCTTCTGCCCCTCTAGGTCCAATTATCCACCTTGTCTTTTGGGATTCCTGTTCCATAGTACTGGCCAACACTCTAATTCCTGACTGACAAAGACTGACCAAGGGAATAAGAAGAATTATTGCTGATTTAGAATGTGAATGTATGTAACCTATACAAATTATCAAACTCTTTTCCAATGAAGCTAGCGTTATATATTTCTACTAGTAATGATTCTGTGTTCTTGGTGCTCTATATCCTTACTAGCTATTTTTATTCCAGGTTTTTGGGATTTCTACATATTTATAGGCACAAATAAGTCAATTCATCCTGTTTTAGCTTGTTTTCTCCTGATGACAAATAAGTTTGGCATCTTTCATCTGCATATTTGCCATCTCTATATGTTCTTTGGTGAAATTCTATTCAGATATTTGGTCTGTTCTTAATTGAATTTGTTTGGTCCTTTAATATTCATATCGTGATTTTTTTGTGTATTTTGGATGCAGGTTCTATATCAGATATGTGTTTTGCAAACATTTTCCCAATCTATGACTTTTCTTTTTTATTCTTTTAATAGTACCTTTGCAAAATACATTTCTAATTTCAGTGAAATACATTCTATCATCATTTTCTTTTATGGAATTTCTTTTGGTATAGTCTCAAAAGATTAATAACATCTTAATTTAATCTAGATTTTCTCCTATCTTATTCTCTGAAAGTTTTAGAGTTGGGATTTTTGCATTTTGTTCTATGATACTTTTTAAATCAATTTTAGTGTAACATATAAGGTCAATGTCTAGATTGAATTCTTTACCTGTAAATTTCCAGTTTTTCCAGTGCCATTTATTTAAAAAAAATTCCTATTGTATAATCTCTATACCTTTGTAAACCCTGTGTATACTATACCAGTAGGGATGCCTTTCTGGGCTATCCATTCTGCACCATTGACAGAAAAAGAAAGAGGAAGAAAGAGGAAGAAGGAAGGAAGGAAGGAAGGAAGGAAGGAAGGAAGGAAGGAAGGAGAAAAGAGAGAGAGAAAGAAAGAGAGATAAAGGAGAAAGAAAGAGGAAGGAAGGAAGGAAGGAAGGAAGGAAGGAAGGAAGGAAGGAAGGAGAAAGAAAAAAGAGAAAGAAGGAATAGAGAAAGAGAGAAAGAGAGAGAAAGAGAAAGAAAGAGAGAGAAAGAGAGAGAGAAAGAAAGAAAGAAAGAAAGAGAGAGAGAGAAAGAAAGAAAGAAAGAAAGAAAGAAAGAAAGAAAGAAAGAAAGAAAAGAAAAAGAAAGGAAGGAAGGAAGGAAGGAAGGGAAGGAGGGAGGGAGGAAGGGAGGGAGGGAGGAAGAAGCAGAGCAGAGCAGACAGGAAGGAAAAAAAGAAAGAGAGAGAAATACTGTATGGAAGTCTAGTTTTATAGTTATTCTAACATTTCTCTGATTATCTCTGTTATATAATACTGGGCATTTAATACATGTACAGTATAACTGTATAAGTTTAGATACTTTTCTGTGATCCTACTTGATTTACTTTCTCTTATTTTGAAAGAGGAAGGGTTGTTTGAGGAGTCCCTAGGACTTTTACCGTTAAAGGTTCATGTATATAATTTATTATTTAAATGTTTTTTTCACAGTTGACTCCTCACTAATAGTAATTCCTCTGGAAAAAGTTAGCATCTTGTTTTAAAAAACAAAAGCCTTAAATAAGAATAATCTTAAAATCACATACAACATAATGATTTAGAATTGCTGTTCGCATTCAAGAGGACTAATTTTTGTTATGGCCTTTTTCTACAGGAATGCATTTTATCCTATTTGGTTCAAATAGGAAGTCAATCCAGTCTTTCATGCTATATTTGCCCTGTTGATAATTAATCACCAGAGAATTCCCAAAATATCACTTTACTCATCAGCATGAATCATAGCTCCAGAAAGGAAGCATTGGTATACCTCACTAATGGATCAAATGGGATCAAATGACTAAAATGATGGCGCAACTCCTACATTACATCTAATGAAATTTAGGATTTGTTATGCTTAATTTGGAGAATAGTGTTCTTGATATCATTGTGATGTGGTGTCATTTGACTTTTCCCATCTCTGATTTTCTTTATTGTTATCCAGAGTAAGGATTTCTGAGGTCTGTATTTCTGTTTAGTATCTAACCTACAATATTTTTGGACTTGGCAGTTCAAACTTAATTTATGATTAGCAATAATCTTCCAGCAATAGGCAACATCAAGACCTTTATGTGGTTTAATTTGGTTAAAAGATTAAAAGAAAGCATAAGTAGATCAGCACATTATATTATTACTACTGTTGAACTATATAGTATCATGATTTCAAGCAACAAAATATTGTATGTCTTACACTCCGCACTGGTGAGCTTCTCTCAGAGAAGTTAATAATATTCCTCTTCAAATGAAAGCTAATATATGAAATATAGTCATCTCCTGGAAATGAGTGGCATTTATTTTTAAGAGTTATTTGTGGTTTAAATAAGTTGCATAATATTTGAAAAATAAAAATATATGGAGAAAAATGTAGAAAAACATCCTGATATGTTTCAGACACCTCATTCCTAAACATGATTTCCTGCAGTTTTACGGTGCTAATAAAATTTCTTCTAGTTCCTTGTGCATGTCAAGTTGCTTGTTGGCATTTGCCAGTTAATGAAATACTAATGGTAAAAAGTAGTAAAGAGATATTTTATTTTGGCATATGCAACTCCCATTTGACCAAATGTTCTGTTTATAAAATAACTTCATAAGTACTTCTCTTCTTCTGTTGCTAAATACATGTCCCCTTCACACAACACATATATATCTCCTTGTTACTCAAAAATACAATCTAATTGATGTATGAAACATATTTTTCTTAATGTTTCTATCACACTGAACCTCCACATATAATAGTGTTTCAAAAAACTTTTGGGAATATATAATAATCAATTAGTAGACTCTTGCAAATGTTGAGTTTGAAAGATGCAGACTTAATATAATTTTTTTTTCTTTTTCCCTCCCTGCCACCAAACATATCTCATGAGACTAAAACTCAATTTATAAAATGATATTACTAGGTCCATATTGTGGGTAAGAGTATACAGAATTGCAAATCCAACAATACTGGAGATAGTAATTTAAGTGTTTCTTATTTGTACAACTAGTCTCTAAGTTTCGCTTTATGTAGAATTTTGAATAATATGACATAATATCATCGCAAAACTATTTTTACATATGCTATGAAAAAATCTGATGATTGAATAGCCTTAATTTTTAACCATCATGTGGACAGATTGTTATATGGCAATGGTCAAGAAGAATGAAAGTAGCTATGGGATTGTATTTTATTCATGTCAAATGACAAAGGAATTTAATATTCAAAATGCCTCAATACAGTGAATATTATACTCAGTAACATGAGAACAAGTTAAGTGAAAATGACTTCATTAGAAAGCCAGTCATGTAATACTTTTAATGAGAGAAAACGTAGGAATGCACACGCCTCATATTTCATTTAAAGCCTCAAAAACAAAGTAGCTTTAGTGGATATAATATTCTATCTTTGTGTAATGTCACTGCATTTAGAATGAAAAGTATATTATGTAATTCATGAATGTAGTAATTTAATTAGCTATAATAATAGCTAAATTTATTGATAATAGCTATATGTTTTTCATTCCTCTTTTTAATAAATACTTTCTCACTGAATCCTCAACAACATACCCCATTAATGCTGTTGATTTTATAAAGAATCCAGGCAGTGGAAGATTGTGCAACTTGTTGGATATGTTGCTTCTCTCTTCTCCAAATAAATATTAAATGTTCTTGATATTTTCAATGGTATTGTGCTCAGGTGCAGGATCATATAAGCACATTTTCCCACCCAATGTCCTATGCTTTTCTGTATTACAGATTGTAATTCTGTCATGTGCAAGTGTTTGTACTAAATATATGGAACATTCACAGCTCTTAACCACCAATTTGCAAAAGAGTCTACAATAATAAATAATAATAGAACTCTATTCATCTTTTACTTTGATTTCTCTATAATTCCAAGAAATAATTTATCCTTGTAAATTGAGTATTAGCTTAAAAAAACATGCTTTGTGAAATTAAAGTCAAAAGCCAATTTTGACTTTAAACAATATTTTATAAACTTCTGAGAAATATCATTGAACAAAAATTCCTATTTTTTATTTAAGGAATACAAATTTCATGTATGTAATATATACATATTTGGGAATATGGTGATTCTTCCCCTCCATCCCCCTCCTACCCAACTTTCACCCTTCTTTCTCCTCCCTCTCCCTTTTTCCTTCTTACTTTTTGTGAATATCTGTTTTCAGTTATTTTTATACTCATAATGTGAATCCTATACTAAGTAGAGAGTTCAGCAAATAGAATGAAGAAAAAAGGAAAAATGAATAAAAACAAACAAACAAGAAAAACAGTCAGGACAAGGGCTGTTCAAAATGGTCATATCTCAAGGTGTCAGTTTTACTCTTATAGATTACATTTTAGGTTACTCTATTACTGACCATAGATGAGAGAGTCCATAAGCTATTTATCATTTTGACTGGCTTATTTCACTAGTTATATTTGTTTCCAGTTGCATCCATTTTGTCGCAAATGACAGGATTTCATTGAGAGAAGTTCTCTCAGCCATGGCATTTTCTGTCTATACAATGCTATTGATTTTTGTGTGTTGATTTTATAACCTGCTGTTTACCAACCTTTTTTTGAGTTCCAATAGTCCCTTTATACAGAATCATGTCATCAGCAAATAGATATAGCTTGACTTTCTCCTTCCCAATTGTATCCCTTTGATTTCTTTTTCTTGCCTAATGGCTCTGGCTAAAACTTCTAGGACTATATTGAATAGCAGTGGTGAGAGTGGGCATGCTTGCCTGGTTCTGGATCTCAATGGGAATGCTTCCAGTTTTTCCCCATTCAGAAGGATACTGGCTGTGGGTTTGTCTTAAATTGCCTCGATTATTTTGAGGAAATCTTTCTATACTTAATTTGCTTAAGTTTTTTTTTTTTTTAATCATAAAAGGGTGTTGGATTTTATCAAATGCTTTCTCTGCATCTATTGAGATAATCATCTGGTTTTTGTTCAATTTGTCAATGTCATTTAATGATTTTTGAACGTTGAACCTTCCTGCATATCAGA